AATAAAAATTAAAATTTAAAATTTAATAGAAATAAAAATTAAAATGAAAAAAATTAAATTTAAATTTAAATTAAATAAAGTCCTGACAAACCGAGGAGCGACTGCTGGGAGCGCTGCTAAAGTTTGGGAGGGTACACGGGTAGTCCTCTCTCTCAGATGATCGGGCACAGCTCTCCATTTCATTACTAGCCAGAAACAGCTTCCTCCCGGTTCCCGTCATCTCACCAGCACGGACACCTCCCCTGCCGGCAGGAAACCCTTGACCTATTTAGCTCCTAAAAAGACAATACTGTTCCCAACAGCTACTGGATCGTTTGTTACTGACAAAATAGCTATCAAAGGACAGAGCAATGACACAAAAGTTCATGAGAATGATCATCATCATGGTAACATGCTACACTGCGCTTGTATAATAGATACGTTTCCTCTGCTAGATTTTGTCTTTAAAGAAAACAATGCCCAGTTTTTGACCACAACCATAAATGATGGAGAAAAGGGAGTGAAGAACACAGTAGCAAAGGCTGCAGCCAACACAGAGTTATTCGGAACAGATTAAACTACAGCCGAGAAGTGCAGAAACACCTCATAACATGACACAGCAGAGCAGTAAGAAGTCAGATTTTGCATTAAATTCCACATCAACAAATGCACTATACACACCCAAGGGGAAAAAACTGTTTATACATATACAGTCCTGGGCTTTAAATTAACTGTTTTTACCAGGAAATGGATCTCAGAGCCATGGTGGATAATTGAGGTCAGGGCTCTGTGGTGGGCAAAACAGTAGAAAGAATTATCAGAATTAATGGGAATAAATAGAGACAAAGGAGAAAACACCATTTTACCTTCTGTAAGTCCTTCTGAAATACAGTTTGTACCTTGTATCAAAGAGATAACCAGAAAAAAAAAAAGGTTTTGTAAGTTTTGTAAAAGGTGACCAAGTGTGGAAAGGATCCCACATGGGAAAAAACTAACCAGCTTGGAAGCAGGACTAGGTGAGGCTTGGAAAGGAGACAGCAGAGAGAGATGACAGCTCGGTCACATCACAGGTGGCCTAAAAAGGTGAAGAACAGATCTCATTCCCCATTTCAGCTAACAGAAGTATTCCTTTGTCTCAATTAAAATACCACCTAGTAGTTTCAAAACAAGCATTAGGAAGTTTTGGTGGAGTTTTCTTTTCAGCTCATGTATGATTAAATCTCATTGTCATAGCATATTGTGGAGACCAAAGATGTGGGGAAGCCCACCAAGGGAACAGATAAATTGGCTGCAGCTAAATCCACAAGCGGGTGCTGAACACAGGTGCATGGGAAGCTCCTACAGCTCTGCAAGCTGGATGCGCAGTCCAGGAGCAGGACCATTGTATAATTACCGCCTTGTGTTTTTAATTCCCTAGGTGTCTTCAGCTGGCTGGTGTCAGGGGTAGGGTGCCGGACTACGTGGCCTGGCACGGCACAGCCAAGCGGGAAAGCTGGAACACAGCAAGGCTGTGATTTTCTGGAGTTCATATGGAACTTAGGGTGGAGCTGGGAACGGACTTCACAGCTACAAAGCATGGCATCGTAGATACAGCGACGTGTAACCGCAGGGGCAGTTTCCCTGCACAACTGTGTGCCAGAGTTTCACTTGCTGGTCTGGAAACGAACCAGGCTGTAATAGGGATTAGCAGTGGAAAGACACTAGACAGCTGTAATTATCCAAATGCCTTCCTATTAACCATGTGAGAGACTAAATCCTCACAATCACATTCGTTAGTAAATGCTAATGACAGACTAACTACATGAAGTTTCATTTGATTAGGTAGAAGAATTCTACTCCAACATGATTACGTTACACAGAATGACCTAAAAAAAACCCAAAAGCCACCTGCCTCATAGAGCAAATGAACATTGATACCAGCAGACAGGCAGAGAAGCCCTGTCCTTGCAGTACAACGGCTGCTCCCGCTGCCCCTGTGTGCCACCAACAGCATGGCCAGGCTCCCTCAGCTGACGGCAAATGTCCCCCGCTCCCTGCAGCAGCTACTGACCCCCCCGC